GAGATCAGTGACATCAGCCCAGAAGTCAGATCCAATTTGTAAGCAATAAACCAATAAGTAAAGATCAATTAAGCAGTAACTGTAGAAGAGGGCATCAGTATTACTGATTAGGTGTGTTTGTTAATTGCATTGAAGCCCCATTTCTCTACAAGACAGCATCTATGTGAAAGAAATCTTCCATTATTATGAAACAGCCTTGTGAATAAACTCTGCCCTTTATACCCAGGGTTTCAAATGGAACTAGGCAGTAGTGTGGGAGATGTGCATATGATGTATTCAGGTGTGTGCACATGCAATGCTGATGGAACATACGTGCATGTGCACACGTGTATCCATTATCTCCTCTGCACGGAAGAGCTGCCACTATTCCATAAGGATTTCTTGAGCACTTACAGGGAGTCAAGGAATAGTAAAAGGATGACAGACACTCACCATATTCACTCTGGCCTTCACAAAGGCCACATGCAATCTGAAGGGAGGGATGCGCCCATGACTCCGTTAACAAGTCAGGGGTTTCCCAAGAATTAGCACCCAGTGTTCCTGGCCCCTGGAGGTGCCCTCTGTTCCTACTGTGACTCTGGCCTGGGCCTCTCCTCTTCACCAGCAGTGTGCAGAAGAGTGGGTGGGGGGGCCAAGGGTGTGGTGGAGGGTGAGGTCTGCCATGTTTTAACCCCTTGAACTGGTGTTACGTCCTTGTTCTGCCATCAACTTGCAGTGGGATCTCACACAATTCATTCATCTCTTTAGGCCTCTTTCCTCACCTGTAGAAAGGTTATTTCTAAGGTCTGCTATGGTTCGAACATGCCATAATAATTGTGAGTGCTCATCACTGCCCTGGGCTTCAATACCCTGCACATCTCTCTGCTGCTGTTTGCTTTTATATTGTTAGTTCATCTTTTGCCATTTCTCTGTCCATCCATCCATCCATCCATCCATCCATCAGCACATATTTACTATGTGCCAGATCCTGTGCCAAGGTTCCCCAATGTCATCCTTCATTTCTATAATCTGGCATTTTGTTGCCTCTAATCTGTCACACTGGAAGGTTAGATTTACGAATTCATTAAGGATTTAGTGTGAAAAGTGAGGATGGAATGATTAAGTAAATCATGGTATGCCCATATGACAGAATAGTCAGGAGTTAATTATGATAATTATGGCACGGTAATTTATTACTTGTTGAAAACACAGAATAAAGAAGATAGTACATTCTGATTTCATTGATGTACACGTATGAGCATAAGCACTGGAAGGGAATACATGAAAGTTAAATTAGTTACATTTATGGGATGATAGGTGATTCTTTTCTTTTTTGGGTTTCCTTTGCTTTCATACTGAGGCTTGTGCATTTCTCATGCTTTTAAGCAGGAGTTCATTCATCAAACGTTTACAGGATGCCTGCTGGTGTCAGGCACTGTGGGGGATTTATGGTTCCGGCTCTCAAGAAGCTTTGGTCGAGTAGAAGGAGACTGATGCACACACATAAATTCCCTGGGAGGAGGACAGGCAGAGGAGGTACAGATCAGGTGAAGGGGATTTTGAAGTTTTAGTATTTGCTAAACTCTATAGTCGGCGCCTCTGTGAAGCAGCCGCAGGAAAGCTATTTTGGTCCTGGTTACATTAATAGAAGCCCAGTGGGGCCTTGGCAGGAACACACCGAATATCTACTGTTTCAACTATTTCCAAGTTATCCCAACGACCAACAACGCAGGGCTATTTATACTTGTGTTGGAGTATGAACCTGAATCCGCAGTCCTTTTGGACGGATGAGTGGCCTGGCTGCCATCCCCACCCCTGCGTCTCAGCTGGGCCTGTGCGTCTCCACTCCCCACTGAGTTCACAGGAGCTGGGAAAACAGTCCCCAGGTGAAAGTGAATGACTAATGCTACTGAAGCAGCCACAGAAAACTGGACTTTGGATAAAGTAAAGCTTGAAATGTTGAATTCAGGAGCAGCTCAGTCTGCACTGCACAGAAACAAGGAAAGCATGTATTGGTCAAGCCAGAATTTAAAGTTTTGAATAGCTTTATATTGACTTTGGTAGTTTTTCTTCTTTTTTATTATTATTTTTATATTAAGAGTCAGAAAGGGACACTTACATTCGAGGTGCAACTTTGCTACCATTCAAGGGGGAATTGAAATTGGGGAGGTCCTAAGAGATGTCAAAGGCCTCCACATTCATAATGGCCTCAAGTTAGTCTTTTTGTCATTTTCTATGAAAAAGCTACAGGGCTGAAAGAAGACGCCATTCATAATAAACTTTAAACTTGTGGCTTATTGCCAGACCACACTCCTGCAGTATACTCTAAAAAATATTTTAAAATAAATTCTGTATTTATCTTTTGAATAACATAATTACATTTCCTGGCACTTTTTATGTTAAAAATATTAATCTGGTGAATGTAAACATTTTAAATATACCATCATTTTTGTATTCCTGTTATTTAAAAAAAAAAGTCTTTGTGTGTTAACACACTGAAGCTTCAAAAAATCAAAGCCTCTGAGCGTCCTCTGCCTCTGACAAGCGCTGGCCCTGCTCAGTGGAAGGAGGGAGGTGTCTGCCCCGTCCCATTAGCCAGGATGGATGCTGGCAGCAAATCAGGACAGAAAAAAATTAAATACATGTCGAGGTTCAACTGGCTTTCTTTTCCAAGCTGTATTATTCCCTTGGTGCTCATTTTAGGTTATATGTGCTTCTCTTTCTCCCCTCTCCAGATTGCAGCCTCTTTATCGAATCATAAAGTGAGCCCCAGAGATGTTAAGCGAGCTGCTCAAGGTCACCCGGGCAGTGAGCAGCTGCGCTGGGGCCGGAGTCCAAGTCATGTTCAGCCTGCTTTATAAGATCGCACAGTCATCAGCTGTGCTATTTCGGGGAATTCCTGCTCAGAGTCGATGCTGCTCTCATCACACCGCATGCGTCTCAGGGGGAACCACCTCCTCTCTGTTGCCCAGTTAAAACAGGTGGAAAATGGCAGTGCATCCCTGGGTTGCTTAATAAATCTACCCGTTCTCATTAACATTATACAGCCTTATATTTTCGAAATAAGGTTGATATAAATGTGCTTCAGACAGGATGCTCTGATTTTCCTGTTTGCTGGGTCTAAGAGCTCTGGCTCCTCCATGCCCCCAAATCCGTGCCTTGTTCATCTCTAAATCTCTCACTGTGGTTTAGTGAGAAGATTATGAGCTTGCACACCGCATTGGTAAAACGTTAAGAGGCTGGCCGTATACGGTGTTGGTTGAGGATGTGAAGAAGCAGGCGTGGCCTCACACTGCCCGCGAGTGTAAGCTGATACAACCTTTTTTGAAGGGCAGCTGTTAACATTTGTTTACATGTACTTCCTCTGTGACCTGAATCCTACCTCTAGGCATCTGTTCTAGGGAAATGCTCAAACATCACAAAGCGGCACGTACAAGAGTGTCCACTGCTGTTGTGGACCAGATGTCTGACAACAGGGAACTGCCTCAGTAAGCTATGAGATATCCATTATTTAGGATGCTGTGAAGCAGTATGATAAAATGAGGGGGATCCAGATATGCTGCCTGGAAAAATCTCCAAGACATGCTGTTTAGCAACAAGCAAGCTGCTCAGTAATGATGTGTGGTGGATGGATTTAATTTATGTGTAAATATGGGAAAGGACTGGAAGGCTGCATGCCTGAGCATGGTGACCATGTGGCCATGTGTCCTGTGGTTGGCAGCAACAGTGGGTGTAGACATTTTTTGGTAATATGGATATATTGTCGTTTATTTACTCACTCCCTCATTCATGAACATGGGGGTTTCCAGGCTTTCTATTGCAAACAATGCTGCAATCAATACCATCACACACATGTCTTTACACACTTGTGCAGGTACAGCTGTGAGAGAAACTCCCAGAAACAGAATTGTTGAATCAAAGGCAACTGCACTGTTGACTTGATAGAGAGCACAAAATTCCCCTCCCTAGGAGTTGTACCATTTTGCACTCCTGTCAGTAACACAGGAATGTGCCTTTTTTTCTTTTTGAGGAAGATTAGCTCTGAGCTAACATCTGCTGCCAATCCTCCTCTTTTTTGCTGAGGAAGACTGGCCCTGAGCTAACATCTGTGCCCATCTTCCTCTATTTTATGTGGGACACCTGCCACAGCATGGCTTGCCAAGTGGTGCGTAGGTCTGGCACCCGGGATCCGAACTGGCGAATCCTGGGCCACCAAAGTGGAACGTGTGAACTTAACTGCTGTGCCACTGGGCCAGCCCCAGGAATGTGCCTTTTTTAAAAAATCAAGGTGAAATTCACGTAATATAAAATCAACCATTTTAATGCGTACGATTCAGTGGTACTTCGTACCTTCATGTTGTTGCGTGAGGTGAAGACTTTTGTCTGCAATGTCTGAAAATGATTTATGGTGACAACACATTCATGTGCTCCTTATTTAATTAAAAATGAAAAGAAAAAGAGTATAGGCTTCAGAGTCAGACAGTTCTGGGTCTGGGTCCAGGGGCTGCCCTTCACTAGTTGTGTGACCCCGGGGAAATTACTTGTTCCACGTGAGGCTCAGTTCCCACGTCTTTGAGATGGAGAAAAGCACACTAACACTGTGGGGCTGAGAGGTTAGATATACTATCGTGGGAAAAGCAGCTGGTTCATCGCAGTGGTAAATGGTGGTTCCTTTCTCCCTGGGTCACTCTGGAGGCACAGCATCTGTAGGCTCTGGCCTCGATGGCACAGGTTCAAATCCCGCCTCCCCTCTTTCTCTGTGAAATCTTAGGCAAGTGCCTCCACTATTTTGAGCCTTGGTTTCAACATGTAAAATGGGGATAGTAGGTTGTGGTGAGAACTAAGTAAGATAGGACATATGAAGTGCGTAGAACAGAGCTTGTTACACAGTAAATGCTCATGAAGTGGGGCTACTGGATTTGAAGTGGGGGTACTGGCATAGTGCCCAGCACCCTAGGTGCCCAGTGGATGAAGGACCCCATGAAGCTGTAACGCCTGCTTCTCTCTGCTCTCTGACCCAGGGCCATTGGTGCCAACCCTCTGTACTGTGACTGCCACCTCCGCTGGCTGTCCAGCTGGGTGAAGACAGGCTACAAGGAGCCGGGCATTGCCCGCTGTGCCGGGCCCCCAGACATGGAGGGCAAGCTGCTCCTCACCACGCCTGCCAAGAAGTTTGAATGCCAAGGTGAGCCCGGGAGTGCGAGAAACGTTGGTGGCTAGTGGGTTGCATCCCCCCTTCCTGCTGCTGGGGGTCCAGGACCTGCCCAACCCTGGCAGGGCCTTCCAGACACTCCCATGTCTCTGCAGGGACCGGCTGGGTGGGGTCAGGTGGCAGGAGCGAGGCACCTGCTGCCTGTTAGCATGGCTGCCCTCTAGTCCTGATGTCCAAGGAACGAAAAAGCCAGGCAGAAAATCTCAGGCTGTGAGGGCTTTAATCCCTCCCGGGGGTTATGTAAGGAACATAAAAATAGCAGCAGTGTTTCTGGAAGCCCCAAGCCTCTCAGCAGTGCGAGCACTCAGGCCTCCCTTTGGTAGGAATTGTGCTCAGCAATTAGCTTAAAGCCCTGAGCACCGGACCCAGCTGCCACTCTCCTGACATTTGCAGAAACACAGGGCCTGAGTGTGATTGCAGGCACCTCACCCTGGGCTTCTGTAAATGCCCCTTCAGGGATGGATTGACTGATGGACCGACGGCCCAAGTGCCAGGAGCCCTGCTGAGCAGAGGGAGGTGGCCAAGTGCCTGCCTCAGGCCCAGCTTTGTGTGCAGGGGGACAGCTGGGGGAGGGCACCGGAGGCCATGGGGCACGGCCTCTGCCCTCTGCGAGCTCGAGGACCATCCTCGGAAATGAAACTGACAGCCATAGGTTAATGAGGAGGCCCCGGGCCACCCTGTGTGCAGGATGCTGTCACAGGCGACACAGTTCAGAGGGGCTCCATCTGTGGCTCGGCTGTTGGCTGTTGGGAGCGGGCCAATTTACGTTGAAACATTTGCTCAGTATTTATTTAACGGAGTGGGGTGGAACTGGTGAGAAGTTTTTCGTTATTTTTTTTTTTAACTTTTTATTGAAATATAACACGTATAACAGAAAAGGACACAGATCCTAAGTAAATGGCTCTCTGAATTTTCACAAACTGAATGCACGGAGTAACCAGCGCCCGGATCACGGAACAGAGCCCGCCCCTGCCTGTACCGAGAAGGCCCCTGACGCTTCCCTCACTTGTCACTGAAAAGTGCTGTTTTTTCATACTCATGCCTTTGCAGCAGAGCCGAGATTTCTCCACTTCTAGAAGGAGTCTTAAGTGGAAACCGGAGTTCACTGGCTGGTCTTACTATGTATTCTTGTAAGGTCTTCATGTCCCTTATTGGTGACGCCCTAAGCAGCCTGGCTGCCAGCTCATCCACCTCCAAGTTCAGGGAAGAGCGACCAGGGAGTCCTCAAAGGGCCGGAGAAGGTCTTGCCCAGAGCTGGAGAGGTGATGGGAAAGGTCCTTCCCGCATCAGCCTGGGAGAGAAATAACTTCAAGGCAAAGGGACCTTTTTCCCCTTAAGCACGGCCTCCTCGCAAAGCTGCGTCTCCAGCCTGCTGAGGAGGACCCCTCGTTATCCTGGTCGGCGGGTGACAGGGCTGGGGAGGCTGCCTCCAAGGGGTGTGAGGGGATGGGGAGCCAACGTCAATAATAGTGACTGTGACACTCGCATGCCGATGGCCCTGCCCTGGCCGTCAGCTGGGGGCCTCCTTAGGTGTCCAGCGCCCATTAGCACTTTTTGTGGATTGGCTCCTTAGTTCTTACAGCCCCGGAGGCAGGGGCTGTTATTAACCCCCTTTTACAGAGGCGGGTCCAGAGGCCCTGGAGGTGGACTGCGAAAGGAGAGTATGAACACAACCCAGAGAAAATACAGCGAGGGGCAAAAATCTCCTTGGGGAGAGGGCTTCTGGCAGGTCCCTGCAGGGCTGGGGTGCTCGGCATCAGGGGCTCTATGCCAGCCCTGCCTTCCGCCTGCACTGACGCCCTCCCCCTGGCCGCAGGTCCCCCCACCTTGGCTGTCCAGGCCAAGTGTGATCCCTGCTTGTCCAGCCCATGCCAGAACCAGGGCACCTGCCATGACGACCCCCTGGAGGTGTACAGGTGTGCCTGCCCCAGCGGCTATAAGGTGAGTGGAGGCTGCGCCGGGAGGAGGAGGGCTGCTCGTGTGCAGGGTGGGCAAGGCTGGGTCTGTCTTGTTTGCTACTCTGTCCCCAGTGCCCAGAGCAGTGCCTGGCCCAGAGCAGGCTTGAGGGGATGTTTAATTAATGACCGCACATATGAATTAATGAATGAACAAGTAACTCCCCGGACAGGCAGGCTAAGCTGCTGAGGGGGTGGCTGTCTCTGTTGGCTCACTCTGGCCCCTGGGTCTCCCTGGGATCCCATCACTGACTTTTCTCCCCAGGGTCGAGACTGTGAGGTGTCCCTGGACAGCTGTTCCAGCGGCCCCTGTGGAAACGGTGGGACCTGCCACCCACAAGAGGGTGAAGAGGCCGGCTTCACGTGAGTTGCCTGGAGGGGCTGGAACCTGATACGCAGGGTGCTGATGAGGTCCAGCACCCAAGCCTCGGTGCCCTCCTCCTCCGAATGGGATGGCCCAGGTCCCCCTGTGCTCTGGGAGGAGATGGAGGGCAGGCTCAGGGGGAGCAGGCCCTCACTAGAGGTCTCTCCATGCCCACCCAGGCCAAGACCCTGTTGCCCAGAGGCAGTGGAAGCCCAGAGAGATTAGGGTCTGCCCCAGGCACACAACAGGCTGGGGCTTGGAGCTGCGCTGCCCACTTCTGCTCCAGGCCTCTTCCTGCTCTTGCCAGGTGCCAGGAGGGTCTTTTGATGGTACTGGGAACCATGGCCAAGGGCATATGCAGTGGCAGTGCCAAGGAGCAGTTTGGGGGTGTTTGAAACCCCTATAATCTCCACTAACCCATAAGGCCTCCAATCAAAGTGAAATGTCTACTTGTTGGGCCAATTTGCCTGAAGGTGGGGCGCCCAGCCAGCTCCTTCCTATCCAGCCACCACCCTGAGCCTGCCTGAGGTGGGGCCTCCCCCCAACAACTCACAGTCACACTGGTTGCACATGGGCAGCTCATTTCCCACCGCTCCGTGAGGGGCCGGCCCTCATGACTCTTCTCTGCTATCGCCATGCAAGCCCCTCCACAGACCCTGCTTCCCCTGGACCCCTCAACACGCCCCCCCACCTTCCCAGAGGCTCCCGGACCCAGAACTTTCTGAAGGAATACCTAGTATTTAGTTGCTGAAAATAAATTGCCAGTCGAACAAATTGGCTCTTCAGAAAATGAGGTTGAGTCTACGGGCAGAAAATGGCCAAACCTGTCTCTGCAAACCCATATTAGCAGATGTAAAAAAGAAAGCACTCAAAGGCCTCTCTTCCCGTCATCACCTTGGAAACAGTGTCCTTCCCATAGGCTCGGTCCTCCTCTGGGCTTTGGCAGCGGCTCCGTCAAAGCCCCCTACTCCTTCGCTAGATTCCTGGGGGGAGTCTGTGGAGAGTGGGGGCCTGAGAGGGCACCCCCAATGAACTCCCCCTGCTGGGCAGAGAGGGGGTGCAGCTGGGGGGTTGTGGAAGCTCCCCTCACATCTAGCAGCCCTACAGAGTCGGGGGCCGTCAGGGTGGGCCCTTTAGGTAGAAGGGGGTGCCCCCTTGAGCTGTCCCTCCACCCTGAGGCTTACAAGGGCCTCCTGGGTTACCCTCCGTCTGTGCCCACCACGCCCACTGCCCTGCCCCCAACCCCCAGCAGGGGGAACCTTCTGAAATGCAAGGCTGATCCCATCGTCCCCGCTTAAAACCCCCCAAGCCTTCTTGGGGAAAAAAAATTCAACTTTAGGACGTGCCTTGCAACAGTGGGCTTCAAACCTTTTTGTATCAATAGTCTACTGTACACTTGATCAAAGCAACATAACTGTACTACAAAACTTGATTGATAATCATTTCACCCAAAAGTAAAATTTTGTTAGACCGTATCTCTTACTAAGATAGATGGAGCTTCTTTTTGGTGTTCTTTTCTCCTCATCAGTTCCTGTTTCCAGGAGTGAATATTACAGAATGAAAGAGGGCTCAGCAGCCAATCAGTTCCTTTTTAATATGTATATACATAGCTGTAAATGCTGGGAAAGTTGGTTCACATATATAAATCAATGGGATCAGAAGTTTTATTGTAGCCATGTCATTTAATTATTTTGAAATCCTTCCGAGTTTATATGCCAAAATCCCAGAGTGATCTGTCATCAAAAATTATTTTTAATGCTCTATCAGCTGACAGTTCCGTGAGGTCTTCCTTAGTGATTTTTAATGCACGGAACTGGAGACCTTTTGAGTTGCAAAAGCATTTGTTCATTCACTTGGGGAACATCGATATTCCTTGCTGTCCCCTTATTTGGCACCTGAGGATTTTAGCCCCAGGCCTGTCCCTCCTTGGACTCGGGCGGGGAGAGGCACGCACGCCTTTCTGGAGCTCTGGGGATGATCAATTTAGGGAGGAGTTTGTGCAGAACTTGAAGATCTGGAAATTAATTTCTCAGACCTCTGTGACCCACATACCCCTTGGAATGGGTGCCCCAGGGGACAGTGTACCCCGGTTTGAGGATCACTGATCTCCAGGGCCCTCCACCACCTGACTCCTGCTCACTCTGCAGCCCCGTTCTCACCCCATCCCGGAAGTGTGTGCTCCCCAAATCCTGAACTATTTGGATGAGTAGGTCCCCTCCAATAGGACGGTGAAAGGCTCTCTCCTCCAGGCTTTTGCATATGCCTCTGCCCCCAAGGCCTTCCCTCCTCTTCCTGCTCTCTCCTGTCGGGGTCCTTGGCTAATGCATCAGCTCCTCCAGGAAGCCTGCCTTGACCGTTCCCCCTGAAGAAGAAGTTAGGTGTCCTCTGCTCTTTTGTCCACCTTCCCCAGCCTCACTGTTGCACTATCCTGATACCCACCACCTCTCCTCTGGTCACCTGTCTCCTCATTGTCTCCCCCCCTAGACTGTGAGTGAGTCCCACGAGTGTAGGGCCAGTCTGGTTCACCTCTAACCCCTAGCACCTAGCAAGGGCCTGGCCTGGAGTAGGGACCAAAGCTCAGGGATAATCGTATTGACTGGTGGCCCCAGGCTTCCACCACTGCCTCAGGAAGGCTGCCTACCTGGGTGTGGGCCCACCCACCTCGCCCTCCTCCCCTGCCCCGCCCAGGTGCTCCTGTCCTACCGGCTTTGAAGGACCGACCTGCGGGGTGAATACAGATGACTGCGTGGAGCACGCATGTGCCAACGGGGGCATCTGTGTAGACGGCGTGGGCAACTACACCTGCCAGTGCCCCCTGCTGTACTCGGGTAAGCCTGGCAGGGTTTGAGCATCTGCGGGGAGGCCAGGGCCCACGCACACCCCGTTCCCGTGGGCGGAACACCCGGGGACCTGCCTCAGTGTCTGCAGGAGGTTTCTGCTGGGCCGGCTGCCTGGAACAGCACAGAGAACAGCTTCTCCCCTGCTTCTCCCTCCTTCTTCCCCCAGGAAGGGCCTGTGAGCAGCTGGTGGACTTCTGCTCCCCGGATTTGAACCCGTGTCAGCATGAGGCCCAGTGTGTGGGCACCCCAGATGGGCCCAGGTCAGTGGTGCCCGTTTCCAGGGCCAGGGAAGGTCATGGACAGCAAGCTCCCTCCCCTCCACCACCTCCCCATCCCCATGCTAACTCCTCACCTGTCGAGGTCTCGGCTGTGCAGGTTCCTGCCAGTCAGTGCAGGAGGTGGTGGTGGGCACAGCTTTGCGGCCAGACACGCCTGGGTTATAGCATGACCCTGAATGGATGCCTTGATTGCTCTGTGCCTCGTTTTTCTCATCTGCAAACTGGGCGTACCAGGAGCTTCCTCCTGGGGTGGCTGTGAGGATCGCATGAGCAAATGCATGGAGAGTACTTGGCTCCAGGTCCGACATCTGATAAGTGCTCCACAAATAGCTGTTATCATTCCAGATCCACAGTTCCTCATCTCCAGTTACAAAGTTTACAAAACTCTGAAAACCAAAACCCCATTTGATAGTAAAATCTAACCTGAACTGAACAGATCTGGAATAAAAGCTGAGCTGCACTGATGGAGATTACTCAGCCATTATTCATCCCACGTATGTGAATGTACAGAGATTTCGAAGCAGAAATGTGGCCATGTTTGATCAAGGGGCCGCCCCAGATCCCACTGGCATGGTACCTAGTACACAGTTGTAGGAACTCTTACCTTTCCAAAATCCAAAAAATTCTGAATTTCCCAACCTATCTGGCCCCAGCAGGTTTGGGTAAGGGGTCATTGACTGTTGTCACCATTATTATTACTGGCATATGTGGAAGTGCTTTGTCACCTGAAGACGGCTGTTTGAAAGTTTTAGGTTTTAAATGGGTTTTAAAAATGTTGCTCTCATCTGCAGCGTTGCATCCACTGGTCAGGGCAGCACAGGTGGTCAGGGCAGGGCTTCTTAGGGTCTGTGGCTGAGGAAGCTGGCCAGGGCGGGGGGTGGAGTCCCCCAGGGAGCCCATGGTGCACAGGAGCCGCCCAAGGCCCAGGGGCATGAAGCAAGAGCTGGGGGATTATCGAGGCCCAGATCCGAGGTCGAGGGGCTGCACAGGGGCCTCCGTCCACGTGGTGGACAGACACTGCACTTCTGGGTGAGCTGCTGGGTGGCTTTGGTGCGGGAGACCAAGAGGCAGTGGCACATCAAGTGGCATACCCGCTCTTCAGAGGGGCTGGGCCTCAGAGGGGAATAAAGCAGGACTGCACGTCGTCCAGTTTGGAGGTACTGGGATAGGCCCTCGCCCCACAAGAAGACGAGCACACCGCAGGTTATAGTGCGTGTTCTCTCAGCTTCCTGTCTCGGCGGGAAGATGGAACTAACAGACACTCAGCTGCGCCTAGCATTGCACCTGAGAGCCAGCGAGTATTCAGCACACATTCACTGAATGAATGAAAGAATGAGTGTAAACGAGTGAGTGGGTGGTGGCTTAGCTACTGTGACATTTTCAGACTGCAGCCCGGGCCCCACTAGTGGATTGTGATCAGTCAGGTGGGTCAAGATGAATGTGAAAAAATAAAACAGACAATATCAATGAGCATCACGCCATTTTATACAGTAAGGACAAGTATGGCGGCAGGAAACTGGTTCGGGGGGGGGGGGGGGGTGGTGTGTGCGTGCGTGTGTGTGTACTGGGTAGAAAGGTATTTCTTACAGCTTGAAAAACACTGGGAATGAGTGAAAAGTCCAGGCAGGAGCGCGTACCTGCAAGGTTCTGTGGTGGACCCTTGGAGTTTGCAGTTTGGAAGGGTTTCCGGCAAGGGATTGCTCAGTGACAGCTGGGGTGTTCACCAGAGGCTTCCTGGAGGAGGTGAGGTGTTGGCTTGGCTGCACTGCGGCTGGGAGAGAGAAGAGGGTATTCCAGAATCAACAGGGGTGAAGGCAGAGAGCCGCTGGGGTGGGCCTGCTGTAGGGGGAGCAGGATGGGGAGAATCTGGCAAAAAAAAAGAGGGTCACTGAAAAGGGGGTGGAGGGACGTGCTCTTTCTTTGATAGGCAGATGGTTGGCAGAGCTGGACAGACTCAGGCAAGCAGTGAGGCCCAGCAGGAGCCGGCCTGGAGTCAGGAGTTCACAGAGAGGCAGGCACTGGCCCTTCTGAGAGCCAAGAGGCCTGCCCACTGGAGTTGGGGAGGGCAGGGAAAAGGGATGGTGGGCCCCGTGTGACGCAGGGCCATGCGCAGGGGGAGCAGCCGCGCAGATTGAGAAGGGGCTGGAGTTTGGCTTTGGTGTGCTGTTGCTGGTGAGGGTGGGTCCTCCATGACAAGAGTCCCATCTCCTCCAGCCCCTGGTGTCCACCCTCCCAGCCCGGAGCCCGCCCCCTGGCCTCTCGCCCCTGCCAAGCCCACACAAGTTCTCTCATTTTACTAGAAAAGGGTCCCAGGATGGGCTGGGGCATCTTTATATCTAGGGCTCTGTTTCACCTCCTGGGGGACCCCATAGACCTACAGGGCCTTGAGGTTCTCTGTCGCACACACACACCCAGCCCCTGGGCCCCACAGGCTCCTGGCTGAGCTCTGGGCTGAGTGTGGGGCTGACTGCCCACCACTGCCCCCTGCCCCCTAGGTGTGAGTGTGCCCCAGGCTACACAGGTGACAACTGCAGTGAGAACCAGGATGACTGCAGGGATCATGGCTGCCAAAATGGGGCCCAGTGCATGGACGAAGTCAACAGCTACTCCTGCGTCTGTGCTGAGGGCTACAGGTGAGTGGCCTCTGGACGCACCATGAGTAACCAACTCCTCCTAGCCATCAGCCCCGGGCTGGCAGGAGCCCCCAGGCATGGCTAGCCTGGGAGTTGGGTCCTGGGGTTTTAACCATGGCTATGCCAGTCACCAGCTGTGTGGCCTTGGGAGCGTTGCTTAGCTGCTCAGAGCATAGGCAGAGGGTCCCTAACCTGTTTGGTGGAGGGAGGAGCGGGGGGGCACAGATTACTGGGCAGTGCGCCATCACTTACCTGCCCAGAGAACCTCTGATGATATGTCCTGCCGTTAAGGACATTTACCTTTGCATCTTGGTTCCTCTGGGAGGTTGGGAGGGGAGGGCACCTGCCCTCCTTCTGCCCCCCACCTCCCAGGATCTTTTTTTTTTTAACAGTTTTATTGAGGTACGATGCACATACCATATACTTCACCCAGTTAAAGTGTACAACCCAATGGTTTTTAGTATATTCCCAGAGTTGTGCATCCATTACCACAATCAATCTTAGAATGTTTTCATTACCCCAGAAAGAAACTCCACACCTCTTATCTGTCACCCCAACCCCGCTCCCTCCCAGCTCTAGGCAACCACTAATCTACTAACATCTATGTCTATAGATTTGCTTATTCTGGATATTTCATATAAATGGGATCATATAATCTGTGGTCCTTTGTGACTGGCTTTCACTTAGCATCATGTTTTCGAGGTTCATCCATGTGGTAGCATGTATTGGAACTTTGTTCCTTTGTACAACTGAGTAACAGTCCATTGTTTGACTAGACCACATTTGTTTATCCATTCATCCATTGATAGATGTTTGGGTCGTTTCCACTTTTTGGCTACTGTGAATACTTGCTGCCACAGAGTGCTGTAGCCTGTACTGGAACCACCTGTTGGTAGTAATGTCCCCTCTTATTTCTTTAGTAATATGAGCCTTTTCTCTTTTGCTTGTGTCTTTAGTCTCAGTTTTCTTTTCTGTAAAATGGGTATAGTCAAACTTGCTAGCAGTCTAGCAACACGAGGAGTGAGTGCTTCTTAAACTTTAATATGCACACGAGTCACCTGGAATCTTGTTAAAGTGCAGACGCAGGAGGTTTTCCATTTCTGACAAGTGCCCAGGTGATATAGCTGCTGCTGGTTCAGGGACCACACTTGTTTCTCATCTGGTTTCCTAGTATCCTTCTGGCTCGTAATTCTCTCAGGAGAACTGTTCATTGGGAGCATCTTCGGTTGCTTTAAGGATCCAGTTTCCCGAGATGTTCAGTGAGTGTCTCTCCAGGACTGTGGGAGAGGAAGACGCCCGCTTGCTCCTTTGCCTTGCTCCCTCTGACCTGTGTCCTTTCCCTCTCAGTGGGCAGCTCTGCGAGACCCCTCCCCGCCCGCCTGCCCCCAGGAGCCCCTGTGAGGGGACCGAGTGCCAGAACGGGGCCGACTGTGTGGACCAGGGCAGCCGGCCGGTGTGTCAGTGTCTCCCGGGCTTTGGTGGCCCCGAATGTGAGAAGTTGCTCAGTGTCAACTTCGTGGATCGGGACACTTACCTGCAGTTCACCGACCTGCAGAACTGGCCGCGGGCCAACATCACACTGCAGGTGCGTGCCCTGGCGCCCGGTCACAGAGGGGAGCCGGGCAGCAGGGGACCCCCCGGGTCAGAGCATCAAGATGCATCCCTGCCCAGGTATCAGTCAAAGCTCTTTGGATGTGGGTGTCAGGATCTGAGCTTGAACTAGTTAAAGCACAGTTGGAGAGGTTATGGGGTCACACAACCAACCTCAGAGAAGGGCGGAGGTGGACGTGGTTTCATGGGTGACTGGATGCAGAAAACCAAACTGACCAGGATCCTCTCCCACCCTCCCTTGTCTCAACTGCTCCTCAGCTTCAGCTCCTAATGTTGCAGATGGCGTTTCTCCACGTGGCTCGAACACAGCCAGAGTTAGCTCTGGGTTTATATCTTTAACCAAATGTCCCTGGGGTCCCTTATTTTGCCATTTCCTGTCTTGAATTCCACCTCAGAACATCACTATGTTGCCCTCAAAAAAAGCAAATCCCACTTCAACAGATTGTTTGCTAAATATTTCTTGGGGAGGGAGAGGAGAGTAGATTATATCGTACATCACATGATAAAAAATTTAAAACTCCTCTTTAGTCATCTCTCTCTTTTCCCAAAATTCCATTCCCTATCCCAAATGCCACATCTCTCCTCTCTCCTTTTTTTTGTCCTCCTCTCTTTTTTTCTCAGAACCCTTCAGCCTCTCAAACATGCTCACTCTGCTCTCCTTCCCTTTATCAGCTCCCCAGAATCCTATCCGCTCACACTGCCCACACAGCAAGACCACAGCCAGCCTAACTGCTCCATAAAGTAAAACTTGCCCAACCCCTACGCAGCTGTTGCCTCTGGCACAATCTTAGGTAGACTCAGTTTATCCTGCTGGCCCCATGGCTGCCTCTTCCCTGCCAGCTCTCATTGGACAACCGTCAACAACCTCAGGGAAGACCTCTCATTGGCCTGCCTTCAGTCACATGACCATCCCTGGACCAACCACTGAGTCCAGCGAGATGGGGTGCCATGATTGGTCCAGCCTGGGCCATGTGCCAGCTCTACAGACCAGGGAGTCAGTTCTTTACAGGGAGAAAGAGGGGAAAGGGGACAAGACAGGAAGAAAGATCATGGCTCCTACAGCATCCTAGAGGGATCTCCCTCCCAAGGCACTACTCCAGCTTTTGCTTGCATGGCTACAGTGACAGGCACTTTGTCCTGAGGGGCTCCTTCCAGGTTTGGTGGCTCAGGTGGTTAGAGAGTCTTCCTGGATCTCCTCTGCAGGTCCCACTCTGGCCCCAAGGCAGCTCCCTGAGGCCCACAGAACAGCTACGGCACATCTAGTCTAACTTTCCTCTCTGGGCAGATGGTCCCAAGGTCTCTTACCTACTCCTCCTAGCACTTAGTTTCTGGGCCTCAGCTGGCCCATCTGCTGTGCCTGTCCCAACCCTGGCCAGACTGGCAGTGGATGGGCTATGAACCAGGGGCTGCCAGCCTCTGTCAGCACCCCCTTGATGTGTCACCTGGGCTGGCTGGGCAGCCAGGGGAGGACAGTTCTGCACACAGCATCTCTCTTCCAATTGTGGGTCCCCCAACTGCCCCACCTACCAGCCTGTGTCTCTGCTGTGTGGGGTTGGGTAGAAGGAAAGTGCCATTGCCCATCAGGTCTCCACGGCAGAGGACAATGGGATCCTGCTGTACAACGGGGACAACGACCACATCGCAGTGGAGCTGTACCAGGGCCATGTGCGTGTCAGCTACGACCCAGGCAGCTACCCCAGCTCTGCCATCTACAGGTAGGGCTTCCTCGTGCCCACCAGCAGCCCTCAGGCATCTCCTGGGCCAAGAGCAGGTGGTTCCTGGCACCACCAGAAACCTGGGCTGCTTGAGCGGAAATGGCATTCAAACCATCTAGTCCAGCCCCTGCTTGGGTCTGAGGCTTTCTGGGGCCTGAGCAGTGGTCCCACCCTTCCCCATCCCACCACCACCTCTCAGGGGGCTCCTTAGTGGGGAAGCGGAGACTGATAACTTGGACACCCCTGCCCCAAACTTCTCACTTTCCCCAGAGAGTCCCCAGAGGGAAGCATCAGGGACCAGGCCATAGGTCACTGAGTCCCCAGGTCCCCTCCCTTAGAGATTTGGTCCTTTGGGAAGAAGCTGCTGGTCCAGTGGCCTTTCTGGGGAAGTGCCCTGGAAGGGATGGGCCAAACTGAAGCTCATTCCCTGGGGTGGGGCACCCCGTTTTTTTCCAGTGCCGAGACGATTAATGATGGGCAGTTCCACACAGTCGAGCTGGTCACTCTTGACCAGATGGTGAATCTCTCCATTGATGGCGGCAGTCCCATGACCATGGACAACTTCGGCAAACACTACACGCTAAACAGCGAGGCCCCCCTCTATGTGGGAGGTGAGGACCTGGCCTGGGTGGAGCTGCAGCTGGCCCCCCTAGGCCTCTCCATCAGGAGATGGTGACAGTCATTCCAGGTGGGGCCTCTGTTGCTCTCTGGTCTGAGGCTTTCCAAGAGAGCTGGTGTCCAGGGCACTGGACTATGGGGGGCAGTCCAGGATGGTGGGGGAGGGCCCTAGTCAATGGCCAAGCTGCTGATGGATTGTCCTCCCCTGCCCAGAGCCCATGCTGCTCTCTGCCCAGTCCAGACTGACCAGGAGGGATGGGTGCCTGGGTTGGGTCTGAGGCCTGGCCTGGAGGACAGCAGGTGTCGGGGCCTGGGACTTTCCTAGCTGTCTTCTGCCTTGTGGGCACCTTTCCTCTTGGCTTTAGGCCAGAAGGAGCTTGTCACTTGTTCAGGGTCCATTCCCAGTCTCGGGGCCTTAGAGGCCTGGAGCTGCTGCAAGCTTACAGGCTTTGTGGCTAAACGACACAGTCCACGATCTAGAATATTTCTAGGTCCAGACGAGGCAGGTTTCCAGAGGCAGTGGGGCCATCTCAGCGCTGCAGAGGGCCTTGCCGAGACTTTGGACCCCTGGGTTCCACCCCAGCTGCTTATTAGTTGTGCAACTTCGGGCAAGTCACTGAGCACCAACTGTCAAATGGGGTTTGGCGATGTCTACCTCACAGGGTTGCTGTGAAGTGATGACTATAAAAGTGGGTGACAAAGTGCCATCCATCCACATGAGCTCTAGGCCCAGGTCCTTTGCTGCTTTGGGGTCTCTGGGAGGTAAAGGCTGGTGTCCCAGAGGGAAGGAAGGAGCCCTGGGCGAGGGCAGCCAGACGTCAGGCACCCAGAGCCTCACTTATCAGCTGGCTGCTGCCAGGCCTGGCACCCTTGGGCTCTGATCACAGAGGAAGCAGCTTTTCCATTTCTTCTGGGAAAGGAGTCTGGACCCTCTAAGGTGGCAAAGGACCTTGGCTCAGGGTTGCAGAGACAGAAGGACAGAGGCCGAGGGCAAGAGGGAACACTGTGGAGATGCCAGCAGACCTCAGAGGTGGGTGCCAGGCACGGTCTGCGCCTGACTCAGCTCAGCTCTGCCCCCGCCCCCACCCCAGGGATGCCCGTGGACGTGAACTCGGCCGCCTTCCGCCTGTGGCCGATCCTCAACGGCAGCAGCTTCCACGGTTGCATCCGAAACTTGTACATCAACAACGAGCTTCAGGACTTCACCAAGACGCGGATGAAGCCAGGCGTGGTTCCAGGCTGCGAGCCCTGTCGAAAGCTCTACTGCCTGCATGGCATCTGCCAGCCCAACGCCACCCCGGGGCCCGTGTGCCACTGTGAGGCCGGCTGGGGAGGCCTGCACTGCGACCAGCCAGCTGATGGCCCCTGTCATGGCCACAAGTGAGCCCTCGCCCCTGCCCACCTGCAGGTTCCCTTCCTTGCAAGTGCCACTCTCCCCTGGTGAGGAAAGACTGTACTATAAGCCCCCAAATTGGAACATGTGGCCTAACACAGGGTTTTATTAGTTTTTTCTGGTTTTCAGTTTTTATTGAGGAAAAGGTCCCTAGGGTTAGTCACAGACTCACATTTTGCTCCTTTCCCCTTAATCGTGAGAAGAGGATAACATCCCATGAAGCCAAGACTGGGGGTGTGGGGCACCCTTAGGTGGGCCTTGGATTGGCTCCAGTCTGTCCTCACAGTGCCTTTTCTCTGTCCCCTCCAGGTGTGTCCACGGGAAATGTGTGCCTCTCGATGCTCTTTCCTACAGCTGCCAGTGCCAGGATGGGTACTCAGGGGCCCTGTGCAACCAAGCTGGGGCACCCGCGGACCCCTGCGGGGGCCTGCAGTGCCTGCACGGCCACTGCCAGGCCTCGGCCACCAAGGGGGCACACTGTGTGTGTGACCCTGGCTTTTCGGGCGAGCTGTGTGAGCAAGGTCAGGGGCCCCCCTCCTGACATGCCCCCTCCAGGGCCCCTCCCCACAACTTTCTGTAGTGACTTGACTTTTCTTCCTTCCAACCCCAGCGACCCCTCTGTGCCCCTCCCCACTCCTGCACTGTGGGCTGCTACTGGGCTTTAGTGCCCTCCAGCCTCTGGGCTCTGAGCCCCACCCCCAGACAGATGCCCCTTTCTCCCTGGCCCTGTTTGCCCTGCAGCCCCCTTATCCTGGGTAAGTGCTCCTTCTGGCTGGGGTCTCTCTTTATAGAAGAGACCACCCAGGGTTAACAACTCCTGCCCGAGCCTCTACATCTTGGCCCCATCACCTTGGGACCAGGGGAGCAGCAGGAAGTCTGAGGGTTGGGGAAATTTTCCCAGGCCCTCCATGGCCCGCGTGACCAAGATGCTTTTGCTGGAATCAAGACTGCTGAGGAGGGCAGGGGGACCCTGAGAAATCCAGGCCTCAGCCACCTTCAGGGTCCCCTAGGCCACACCCTCTGGGCACGAATTTCTTCTCTAACATTGTTCCCTCCCAGGCCTCTAGCCACCTCTTGCACTTCTCTAGCAACCGGGAGCTCACCTTAGCCTGGCCACCCAATCTGTCCTGGAGGGCCCTGGCAGCTAGAAAGTTCTTCTTTCCCACCGACCCCACCACTGTGGGCCCAGGAGGAAGCGAGTGCATGTGCATGTCGGGCAGGGAGGATGCCGGGGACAGAGGCGGGTCTGAGAGCTAGAGGACCCGTCCAAGGATGCTGCCCTCCTTCTCCTCCTCCTGCCTCCCCCGGGGGCAGCGCTGGCCCATGGGTGTGCCCTGAGGCTTTCTCTTGGTGTCTGTCCCATCCAGAGTCCGAGTGCCGGGGGGACCCTGTCCGGGACTTTCACCAGGTCCAGAGGGGCTATGCCATCTGCCAGACCACGCGCCCGCTGTCGTGGGTGGAGTGCCGGGGCTCCTGCCCAGGCCAGGGCTGCTGCCAGGGCCTGCGGCTGAAGCGGAGGAAGTTCACCTTTGAGTGCAGCGACGGGACCTCTTTTGCTGAGGAGGTGGAGAAGCCCACCAAGTGTGGCTGTGCCCTCTGCGCGTAGCGCCTGGCGTGGACGGGGAGGGCGAGGGCGAGCGAGGGGCACGGCCGGCCGCAGCGGAGCCTGAGCAGCAGCCGCTGGGCCTGGGTGGGGCCATCAGCAGGACGCTCCTGGGCGGCGGGGCCGGCCTCACCCCGGCCGCGCCGCCTTCCTACAGCAAAAGGCGCGCAGGTGGGGGTGGAGCGGGTGGGCGTGGCTCGGGCTGAGGACCGCCCTCTCCGGAAGTGCCTTGCACAAATAGGCGCTTAATAAATATTTGTTGAATGAATGTGTGCGTGAGGTCAGGCCAAGAAGTGCAGATATTGACACACCCGTCCTTGCCTGCTACCTGGGTCTGAAGAAGGGACTGGCTCCTCCCAAAGCAGCCTGTCCCTCTCACCTGGCCCAGGCTGGCCCCAGAAGCCCCTTGCCCCCTGCAGATAACCTTGAAGTACCCTCAGCCCGCCCTGGGGCAGCCAGCCTGGCTCTCAGCTCCTTCTGCTGCTGCAGCGTCTAATGACAGTGGGCCAAGCTGCGGGGGGAAGGGCCCCCTCTTGCTGGCCAGGGAGGGAGTGACCCTTGCTCCCTGAGCTGACTGGCAGCGCTGCAGCCACTGCTCGCTCCGCTCCGGAAGGCGGCTGGGGGTGGAGGTGGGTCTTAGAACCAGACCTCTGAATCCTAAAGTTATGGGATGACCATTGTAACTTCAAGGAGGAGGCTCATGTGGGGGAAACGGCTACTGGGGCTGCATGGGGTGGGGACCCATCAAAAAGACAGGGGATTCTTGGTTTCAGTTGAATAAACATCACCACCTCCAGTCACTAGCCACGAAAGGGGCATTGGTCCCAGGATTCCTCAGCCACTAGCCAGCCACAGTTGCTGGCGAGCCACTGGCAGAAGGACGGGGTGTAAGGGGCTTGGGCTCGGCTGCTTGGCCTGGTGGGCGGGGGAGGTGGCGGGGGGGGCATCTCCTCCAGTGGAGACTGGGTTCAGATCCCCTCACATACAGACCAGTAGGGAGCAGTGGTCCAGGCAGCAGGAAACCCGGCTCTGTCACTCTGGGCAAACTTCTCCATGGGCCTCGGTTTCCTCAGCTATCAAATGGGAAGGTGGGATAACTGAATGAGCAATGTGGACCCTCCCTACTACGGCTCCTGGAGGGAGGCTGGAAGAGTTAGAAGATCCATTTTCATTCATCCCATCATCAAGTATTTATGTGCCTAACAGGCTGGGTACTGTGGGTGCTCATGGACAGATGTGAACTAATCACAGAGCGTCACAGGAGCAACCAGGAGGCCTTGGGAAGAGAGCTGAGCCGCTGAGCACCCCAAAAACAGACCTGGCTCAGGCTGGAACTGCTCACCAGAGGTGTTTGCAAGGAAGCACTCAGTGTTTGAAGTCACTGAATACCTGACCCTGCGACTACAAATGCTTCTCTTCCATGCAGAATGAAAGTGTAGAAAGACTATCTTTGAGCCTAAATAGTGAGCTGGCTGGAAGATAGGTCATGCTCTTCTGTCCCAGATGTCTCCCCAGGAGAGTGCACCCCTGGGGTTGTGGGCAAGGGGGGGTGGTGAGCATGTCCCTTTCCTGGCTCTTTCTGTCTGCAAGCAGAAGGCCAGATTGGGGGAGTGTGTTGCCGTGAGGTTGAGGTGGCGTTGTGCCTGTGTCCTCAGCCACTGTGGGCAGCGTTGGGGAGCTCCTGATGCTGAATAGTAGGGGGCTGGGGCCTCCTGTGGCTGTGGGAGGCTGGCACACACTACACTGGGACTCAGGCCAGCGAGTTTCAGTCTTGAGACCTCTGAAATGGGAAGAGGATCCTGCCCTGCCCAACTCAGGAGGTGTCCTCATGGCTGGATCTGCCCTGCACCAGGGGCCGGACTCTATTTTCTTGTAGCTCTGAGCAAGGCCACAGGGTCTCTCTCCACTGTGGACCACAGCCTGGGCCTTGCAGGGCTTCTCCTAGGGGTACACGGCATCTCTCTTTTACCTGGAGTTTCTGGGCCACGGTGGGAGCCCGGAGAGCAGCTAGCACCAGGCTGGATAGGCAGGAAAGCTCAAGTGCAGCTAGCTTGCCCCTCCCATGGAAGAGAGGTGTTCTGGGACCCACCAACCCTGAGCCACGTACCTTCCCCTGGTCACCACCATTCCCCACTGCCCTGGAGAAGCAGCTCCCAGGCTCGAGGGGCAAGGACTGGCAGGAGCCTCTTCACTCTGCAGAAAGTGGAAAGGGCACCTGCAGACATGCAATGGCTGCCAGGAGTCCTGCACTCCCAGTGCCATGGGGCTGGGAGGGCAGAGGATGAAGTTTGTTCACAGGGAACACCCTGTGAGCTTGTCGCTGCCCCCACCTGCCCCTCCACAATGCCCCATGCCCCCTGCCTGCTCCACACTCACCCTCGGTCGAGCTGGAAAACTGGGATCCACCACAAGGGTGAGGGCAGCAAGGGGCCGAGAGAGCCGTGTACCCCAGGATCAACTTTTCCTCCAACTTAGCCACCACTCTGCAAGTTGCTAAGGAACTGGATCACCGCTCATCTTGTTTGTTCACATGTGGGCCCGCTGAGTCCCAGGCGGCTACCACGACCTCATCTCTCTGAGAAATCATCTCCACACCTTGCCACCCCTTTGGTAAAGACCTTCAGTTTGCTTTGACGTCGCCATTGGCCATTTCCGCACTGAACAGACACAAGCAGGGCAAGTCCCCAGGTTGCTGTGCTTTGGCAGCATGGCTGGTGAGTGGCCTGGGGACCCTGTGAAGGTGTCAGGAAAAGGAAAAGGCCGGACTTCGTCTCCTCTTTGCCTGCTGTTAGCCTAACCACGAAAGTATCTCTTTATACAGAATACTTAACAGATTCTAATATATATTTGTATTTCATTTTGTTATAGTATTTTTATATGTTAAAGTCAACATCCAATGTCTCGTTTGATTATGTGGTTGTGAGACTTTGTTTGGGGGTTCCTGTAGTATTGTTTGGATCACTCTTAGAGAGACTGCTTAGAACAGGCCCGTGAGGGAGCCACGCCTGCCCTTTTCCTGTAAGTGTTGTTTTAGAACATGTTGGATATTGTCTGTTGTCTTCCATGTGAACATGACATTGATTCACTCAGGTTCTGCCTTGTTGATCTCTTTTTCTCTATCAAGGATGAGCCTGGGGCTGCTGACACATCCTCCCAGGGTGCCCACACAGCAGCCACAATCAGGGACAGCTCTAGGTGCAGCACATGTAGGATGTCTGCCCTCGGTACTCTCTGGTCTTCCTGAAGTGGCAAAGGAGGTCGGCTCCTCCTGAAGAGGGAAGGGGAGGTCTGGGGGACAGCTCAGTCATGGCTCCCTGGGGATGTCAGTCTGAGGGCAGAGGCTGGCACAGCACAGCACACACGACCTGGGGAGGCTGCTCATCCTCATTTCCCTCCAAGTGTCTGCTGTCACACCCATAATTTGTAAGCTTGTGCACAGAGCCATACCCACATTTAACCTGGCTCTGAAGGTTTCAGAGTGTCAGGGCAACAGATTAGAAAGCAGTGGGGCTTCTCAAACTGTCCTGTAAGGTTAACCTGCCTGTTTCCAGAACAGCGGTTCTTAGGGATCAGTGGAGAAAGGGGGCTAACATACTTCTACGTTGGTTCTACTATGATTTCAGACTATAAAACTGCACTCAGGAGTTTTGTAGGATGCATGACCTGAGCAACTAGGTGAGGCCAGACCCTGGCAGTCAGGCTGGACAAGGTTCCCGACACCAAGGGCATCTGGCTGGTCCTCCCCTGATGCCCGCACCATAGACTAATTTCCCACTAGAGGACGAAGTCATAGTGATGGTCACACAAACCACATCTTAACAAACAGCACGTGGTCACCTTGAAAGTGGGCAGTGATGGTAACTGCAATGCCTTCAGAGCAATTAGGGATTTTGGAGGAAATGTAATGAACCAGGTAAAGCAGAGAAAATGGGTTAAAATAGGGCTGTAAGCTCAAGTGTCCGGGGTGGCCAGTAGGTTACCTAGGAAAGTCACGTGGGCACGCCCCCTTCCAGCCCATCATCTGTAGTGCCACTCCTGACAAAGCAGAGGTACAGAGACCTATTTTCCTACCATAGAGAAAAAGGGAAAAATGGAACTGACAGAACTGTGGTGACCTGAAGTACACATTTTCCAATCTTCTAAGCAACAGCTGATTCTTCCCAGGTACTAGTTTTGTCAGATCTTCATTATCTTTTTTTTTTTTAAGAGAAGCCAGAAATCAATTTTTATGTAAACACTCATAGTTTTTAAATATCTTATTTTTTTTAAACACTAGGCGAAATACAACACAACTGTGAGCCACCAGTTTGCAAACTCTGAGTTAAAGTAAAGTAAGTAGCAAACTTCACAGTTAAAAGGAAACCCCCAGCCAGGGGAATGGGCACAGCAGGGCTTGGCTGTGGGGTGGAGGCAAGGCAAGGCAAGGATCGTCCAGGTGTCCAACCAGAGGGGCCGTGTTTTCTTGACATTGGGGATAACGCATCTTTATTATCCCTACACCCTGAGGCCTCAGAGTTGACTTCAGAGATGTCCCCTCACCCCAAGCCAGTCAGTCTGCACCTCTCAGGTCATATTCTAGGTATTCTGTCTAATAAACACTAGAGGCAAAGAGGTCTGTTTTAACAATGAAAAGTCCTAATCTGGAACAAGATAATTCTCCAAATTCAAATTAAGAAGGGGTGGCCCATCTGCCAGCTGAGGGGTTCCTGTCACTGGGTGTAGTTATGCATGTCAATGGCCACTGCCAGATGAACTTGTTAATGAAATCAGGGCTGGTTCCACAGCAATCACTGGCCCACTGGATCCTTAAATAGACCTATCTCAAGCAGAGTTGAAAGAATATAATGAAACAGGTCATGAGGCTAGTAAATGGAAGGATTTCCTGCCAACTTTCTGCCATACCCCAACATAGGCCAAAGAGAGCTGGGGCAGCCCTCCCGGGTGGCTGTGCACATTGCCCCCTTATTGAACAGTGGCTCACCTGAGATCAGGAGCATGAATTCAATAGCTCCATGCCCCTCAGGATGAAGCACGGGCACCTCTCCAACTCTGCCATGGGACTTTCCCAGGATCCATCCTGTTTCTTTTCCCTGAAGTTAGACACATCTCACAAAATGGCCACAGATATAGCAGGCAATGTTCCTTTAAGTCTTGACATGGTGGCAGAGGCAGAAGTATTAAGAAGTATTGCTTTTTGGTTCCTTCTGGCAACTTACCGACTTTGTCATAGGCTACAAGTGGAATGCTGGGCTTCAATGCATTCTGTACCCTCTCCAGTAACTACACAAACACACTTTCATATCAAAGAAGTTTAATACGCTGCAATAAAATAAGCGCCTAGAAAAAGCTCATGGAATAGATGTCAATGTTAGAGAAATCCCTCCCACACATCCTCTAGCTCCATCCCCCATCCCTCAAAACCAAACAAGAAAATCCAGAACAACAGAGGAAATCCTTCCAAGCTTGGATTTCAGCGAGGGCCCCTTCACCAAGAACAAGAACACAGTTTCCTACATGGCCTAATAGGAAAGTAAAACACAGGAGCACAAAAAGTCCACAAGATTTCAATATTTAAGAGACTTGGTACATATTCAAAGTTAAAATAACTCCAACTTTTATAGCTATACATATGGTTTTAAAGCAACTTAATATATTTTTAAATTTCATATATACACTCTCAAAGGTTCTTCAGGTGAGGTATGTAAACATTGTCTAATGAAAAACTTTCAATGTTTCAAACCAACAAATTCACAGCATACATTGAATTTTCATCCATTAAAGACACAGTATTTTCCTACACTCACTAACACAGTGGAAATCCAGGCCCAAGAGAGACACGCTGATCATCTGGATTACCATTTGCAGAATTTCTCATTTCCCTGCTTTTGGAAAGACCACCTTCACACAGGCCAGGAGCACATCTTGGCATCTGGAAGGGGCTAGGCCCTCCAGAGACTGTCTCCTTGGGCATCTGGATCACTGGCTAAGACTCACAAGACAGTAAAAAGGAGCACATCTGAACAACTACGAGATTGACCTCGGCAGGACAACACTGGGAGGAACCAGAAAGACCTTTAAAGGAACGGCAGAGATTCATCTTAGAGCTCCCTGGATCCACACCCGGATCAGCAGCCCCTAAACTCATTCTGAAAGGTGGTGGCCTAAAAAGAATAAAAATCCAACACGGCACCTGAGCTTCAGTTAAATTGCATGGGCCTCCTACGACCCCCTGGCCCCTCAAAGGCATTAACTCTAGCCTGAAGTAGGACCCTGGGCTGTGCTTTTCATACAGGTTAGGGTTGAATTTCTTAATATCATAATGCATACGGGAAAATAATGCCATGAGTTCACAAAGATGACCAATGTCTGCAGACAGGCACTGGCCAATGACCTTGGAGGAGCTCAATTTTGAAAACTACTTGTTCCCTGAGGGTAAACAGCAGGCTTCTATTGAGATTAAGTGAGGCTAATAAGGGGATTATTTATTACAAGGTAATAAGACTTGGGGAGCCTCAGGCCAGAATTCTATTTTACCCCCACATAACCTATGACGCCCCCTCCCCGCCCTCCCACCACCACAAGAAGTAGTCACCTTCCCAATGACACAATATAGGTCAGTTTCTTTCCTCTTGCTTGCTTTCAGGCTCAGCAATGGAAAGTTTTATCCTAATGCATCCACTTCAATCTAAAAAAACACTAGTGAAAAATTCCAAACACCATCATAAATACAAAAGAGAAGACATAGTCCAAAAGTCTAAAAAACTACATTATTCTATTCATGGTTATTTGGGTGTGGGGTATTTTTCATAAAGTTTAGGACGGTCACAAGGAGAGGCTGCTAAACAGCTTAGAAACCTGTTGAACTGGACACGCTGGGAGACTCGGAGGGGCAACTGCCCTCTTTGCACTGACCTCAATGGTTTAACCCCAGACATGAAGGGGGCTTCAGACATTTCAAACCCAGGCACAGAGAAGGATTACAGGAAATGGGCTAGCTTTCAAATGCAGGTCAGATATAGTCAAAGGACTTTTAATTGGCCATTTAAATTTCTAATGTAAAAACTTCTTACATTTACTTTACAGCCAAATGAGCTTTGCCTCAACTAGATTCTGAAAACCCTACAAATCTATAGAAAATTGATAATTTTTCAATCTCTATGCCCAATTTTTGATGTGTCTGGGGCTGGCAGATTTCTCATCCATTGTTAGAGTTGGATTACATGAAAGAGCGTGCAGACAAACAGAAGCAAAAATTCAAGTACAGCAACCTCTCCAGCAAAGGCAAGAGGTCTTAGCAAGAGCTGCTCTACCCCCACCCTATCCTCTGAGACAAGGGCCAACACGGAGCCCGGAATAAAGGTTATTACCTAGGATCTTATTGCTTATGGGCAACACTTCAGAGAGAACACCTGGAAATCTGCTCTGCAGATCTGGGGACTGACCACTGACCAGTTTATCATACATACGTATATATATAATATATAACATAACCAGATGAGAAGAGGGGCAATTAAAGCTTGGATTTGATGTAACTTTACAGATCAAAGGCCCCAAACAGCTCTCAACCTGCTGGTTTTTGTTTTCTCCATGTGTGAACTGTGTCATGAAAGGAAGTCCACTGCTCAAAATATATTCCTCTACAATACTACAATGCGAACCAACATCACTCAGAACATGAATCTGTATACAGCACATGTAATAAATATTTTTAAAAACTATTTACAACATTACTTCTTGTGAACACTTAGATGAGAGCAAAATTTATTTCTTCCTGCAAAGGTTAAAAAAGTTTTGACTGTCTAGTTCAGTGCTAAATTCCCTGGCACCTAGTTACCCATTCACATTTCATCTTAAAATCAGATTTGCTTACAAATAGTATCTTAGAAAAAACATTCTCCAGCATTACTGTTCAAGTGTCCTCCTCACTTGTTCAGAAAAGACAAAGGGAGGCCATAAGTAAATATGCAAATTATGGTTCAACGGATGACAAAATCCCTGTGTGTCGGGTGCCAGCTCGCTGCAGTCCTGGAGCTGCAGTTCTCAGTCCAGCCAGCTGGGCAGAATGAGAGTCATGACTTGGACAGGGGTGC